AGAGCTTGAGAACCAGATGATGCTGGGAGTGGAGGGCAACGACCTCCCCGCCAGACGCTGTCTTCTCATCACCCGCGACATCGCCGACCTCCAGAACTACACTCTTGACCCCCGCACGCCGCGCTTCGCGGAGCTCACCCACGACCCGCGAGAAGACAGCTACCACATAGACCCGGACTCTTCCAACATGCTGGTCCGTCTCAAGAATCGAACCCGGGGCCTTGTGTCTGAGCTCAACACGCTGCACCACGACGTGCTGTGGCGATACGGTGATGTCATCAGCCCCCAGCTACACGCCGACTACCTGGCCGCGCTTAACGAGCAGCTGTACCGCGCTTGTGTCCGGCTCATCGACGACACGGCCCCGACGCCAGAGACAACCAGTGAGTCTGTTATTATCACCACGGCGTCCTTAGTTACGGTATATCATGGCGTCCTTGGTTACGCCGTTAGACACTTACCAAAATTTATTTTTTTAAACGGGTGAATCATGGCGTCCTTAGTTACGATATATTATGGCGTACTTCTTTAGTTATGGTAGACCATGGCGTCCTTAGTTTCAGTATATCATGGCTTCCTTAGTTACAGTATATCTTAATGTCCTTAGTTACGATATATCATGGCGTCCTTAGTTACGGTATGTCTTATCGTCCTTCATGTCGGTGTATCATGGCGTCTTTAGTTACAATATATCGTGTGGCCCTGGGTTAATTAAGGCACAAGGTAAATTGCATGTGGCATCGTAGTGAAATCAACCACTCGTCAAAATGATGCAATCGGAGAAACCGGAACTTTCCGTCTGGTGGGCAATTTTCATCGATTTATCTTATATCTTTAAAACAATATTAACCATTTTAAATTTAAAAACACACGTCAGTGTGGATTTCGCTGGAAATAAATGTTGATCAAAATCTGTAAAGTTGCAGTTTCTGGAAGCATTTAACCATTCACATTACCTTCTCTCCCCACCAATCCTACACCCACACCCCACCCTGACCCCCTGCCCCCGCCCTAACACTCCCCCTC